GGGCCGTGCTGGCCCGGGGCCGCCGGGATGCGGGGCCGGCGGGAGACGGGGGCCGGTCTCCGAGCGACCTCGCGGGGGAGGCAGGCGGGGTTTCCCTCCTCGAGGAGACCGCGGGACAGGCTGGTGAGAGTCCGGAATGGACGGGGATCCGCCACGACTCTCCCGTGTCGCATGGGAAAGCCAGCCTCCCCGAGCGCCCCCAGGGCCCGTCCCCCCGCCCCAGCCGTTGTCCCGACCCCGGGGAGCACAGCAGCGCCTGGGGGGAGTTTGAAGGCTTTCGGGAATCTTCAGCCAAGTCTGAACAATTCTCTCGGTCCCTTGGACTTCTGGAGAGACCCGCTCCCGCCCCAGAGGAGCGTGGTTCTCCCCAGCCGCAGCCGGGCGGGGTGACAGGAGCCGCCGCCCTGCCACCGTCACAGGTATTTCTAAAGTGCTGGTCGTCACCACGTTGAGCGGGAAGGGTTTGTGTACCCGAAGGGCTGTGAGGCCTCGCAGGCTTGGGTGCGCTGTCGGGAGCGCTCTGCCAGCCTTTGAGGGTCCGTTTTTCTCCTGGACGTCGTCCCTGAGGCCGGGGAACGAGTTGGTTGACAGAGGAGGCTGCAGAAGTGGAACCCACTGTGGCCGGCGGGAGCCTCCCGAGCTGGGCCGCCTTCTCTGACCACCCCTCCCCAGGCATGTCCACACTCAGTCCCTGGGGCTGCGCTCTCCTGGCCCCAGTTCAGGGCACGTGGGCAAGGAGCGTTTTGTCTGAATTCTGAATCTGCGGATTTAGGAAGTCTCTCAGGCCTCCTAAACTCACTACTTGCATTCCAGTTCGCCTGTCGTGAACTGGGCAGTGCCCGACCCTGCCAGTCGCCTGTCGTTCGCTCTTTTATAGCTGCTGGCCAGCGTCCTCCTTTTTTGTGACTCCTCTGAGCCTTCTCCTTTACTACTTGCATTCCAGTTCGCCTGTCGTGAACTGGGCAGTGCCCGACCCTGCCAGTCGCCTGTCGTTTGCTCTTTTATAGCTGCTGGCCAGCGTCCTCCTTTTTTGTGACTCCTCTGAGCCTTCTCCTTTTCTGTCTTCCTCTTCCTTCCACTGCTTCTTTCTCTGCTATGTCTTCCCAAATGATCCACCCCAAACACCACGAGAAAAAAAGATAAGTACAGCAGAGTAAGGGAAGGAAAAGTGTTGCTTGTTCTTGGAGATGGATTGTTTCCTAAACCACGCAGTTTCCCCAGACAGCTAGTAGGACTTTACCCGACTCAGACAGCCCTCCCTCCACCACCTCACACCAACTCGGCCACAAACCTCAGGTCTTCTTCATGGTGAGGTGCTGTGTTTATGGTAGTACGTGCGGATTTCTTAACCACGTAACATGGAAACAGTGCTAATGTCATTCGTTGGCCATCTTTTTGGCATGCGTCACACATGAGGTTTAAGAGTTGTGTCCTAACCCCACTTTTCCCATGAGCACTGTGGTTCTCATCACGTGATTTGCATACCATGGTGATTTTTAGGAACAACTATGTCAAGTGATAGGAGGGACACTTGACATATGCATTTCTAAAAGTCAATGATTCAATTACAAATTTTATTTGTACCAAGATTATTTATTTGGAATAAGGTAATGTGTGTATTTCCCCTAACTTTGGCATGTTTTTCTCTTTTAGCCCATCCTCAGCTATGAGAACATTTTTAAATTTGCTTTTCAAGAAATAACAGTCCAACAGTCAACTGAAGATGTTTCCACCTTAGACCATTTCTTAGAAATAAGTGGAGAAAAATCTGACCTTGCATCAGTACATAAATTGTGGTAATGAACTTAAATTGGAACTAAATATTTCTCACAGCAATTTTGCATTTCTCTTTGAAGAAAGTGGATATGAGGCTTTGTTTCCACCTTTTTAGAGAGCGCCATCTCTCCTGAAGTCCTGCCATCTGTGGGTTGTAGTGTCCCCACAAGGAACTGGGCAGCACAAGTTGATGCTCTAGTCTCAGCCCTCCTCTCTAAGTCTGTGTTCAGTCCCCTGCCACCCACCTCCCACCCCGCACCAGCTCACTTGGAGCAAATCGGGCCTGACCTCCAGCTCCTCTTGTGTCTCAGTGTGAGTGCTGGGTGCAGAAGCAGTAGAAGGAACTGGTGGGCCTGGGCAGAGGGGCCTCCTGGGGGCCTCAGCTAGGTAGTGTCTCTAGTGATTCTTGGCCATAGAGTTATAGAAAATACCTCTGGGAGCCATAGAGGCCACCCAGTGCTCTGGAGTGCCATTCTCAACCCATGTGTGTGCTCCTGGAGCTGCCAGCAGGCCCCCAGGGGAAATTACAAAGGCAGTTGTTTGCAGATGGCCATTTTCTAAGGATACACTTTCAACCAAGCATTGAAAGAGAAACAGTGCTTGAGAGGATTATGTGTCATGATTGAGAAGATCAAGACAGGTTGGCCCAAGGCCCCAGAGAGAGGGAGGTGAGGGCTGCTCCCGGGGCCTTCAGCATGCTTTGCTGAGCGGATTTCCCAGGAGCTGGGGGAAAGCCAGGTCTGTGTGCTGCAACGGTCTGTACATGTCTGAGCAGGCCTGGACTTTGTCAGAGCTCTGCAGAGAGGCCATTCTGGGCTCTGGCTCTGGCCTATCATGAGCACTGCTGGGGTCCAACCCAGCGCCTGCCCAGGGCCCTTCACAGGGGCCAGGAGACTGAGGTCTGGAGCCTCAGAGGCTGCAGTCAGTTTTTCCCAGATGGTCAATGTGCTCTTTGTGCAAACCATGATCCCTGGAGAGAAACTGCCGAGGGGGCAACCCCAGCAAGCTGGCAGCAGTGCTGACATCACTGTTCCCCAGAATGAGCCTGGGGACCCAGAGGCAAGGGAGGGCCTGGGTGTTGGGACTCGGTAGGGCTGGACAGGCATGAGACAGAAAGATGGGGGTTATTTTGGGGGTGGACTGGAGCACTGTAGGCATGTTCTGAACCACTAGGGTATTCCTGGAAAAAACCCCGGCATTCACCATGGCCCGTCTCCCCCTAGAGTTATTTGTGCGCCCATTTTACCTTCCCTACCAGAGCGTGAACTTCTCACGGGCCACCCCTCTCAGCCCCCACAGTAACACACAGCACACGATAGACGTTCACCCTCCCCTTGTTCATTCATTCGTCCTCAGGCACTTGGCGTTCTTTGTCTGTGACCATCTGTTTTGTACCCAGCACAGTTATAGGCACTCGAGTGAACAAAACCAGCAAAATATCTGGCCTCGAGGAGTTTTTCCATCTTGGAGGGGATGCTTCATAATGAAAATAAGTAAACCATTGCCTGGGGATGCCCTCTGTAGAGAGAAATCAGGCGAGGAGGGAGGATGTGCCAGGGTGATTTGCTGAGTAGTGAGTATTGTCTGAATCGATGAGCGGACTAGGGAGACAGCAAGTGCTGCTGCAGGGATGCTGTTTTTAGAGTTCTTAAAGGCCAGGTACTCTGCTCATGTGAGGTCACCTTTTAATGACCACATCTGTTTTCTAGTTCTGAGTCGAGAAAACTCTGGAGAGCCCTGCAGAGCACAGATACCACCTCTGCTTCACGGCACCTCTGGAGTGAATCCCGCTGCCAGGAAAACTACTTTCTTGTTCTTGGCATAGATGCTGCTCAGAAGGTAAGACAGCTTAGGTTGAGATGGGGCTCCTGGGAGTGCAGATGGGCCTCCCCATAGTTGTTGCCCATGGCCACGCACCCCCTGGAGACCATCTGCCTGGGATGGGGGTGGCGGGTGGGGAGAACGCGCTGGCCTTCAGTGGGGCACACCTGCATCAGGACCTGGAAGACCACCTCTACCCAAGGTTGTGAGGCCCTGTGCAAGGCTCCTGCAGCCGGGGACAGTGGTGGGGACACCTTGTGCATGCGGGTTTGGTGGGTTGTGGGGGAAGGTGCCACGGCAGAATGCCATGAAGCGTAGAAGCCACAGGGCCTGCTTGTGGCCTCCTGGGAACCCCCCTTTGAGGAGCCATGGAGGGTGGTGGAGTTGGCAGGGCACAAGCACGGGCAGGAGTGTGCTCTGCACCGCAGGTGCTAATGGAGGGGGTGGGGTGGGGGCCAGGGCCTGCCTACAGTGCGCACACAGGAACGGGGGGTGCCAGTGAGGGGCACACTGGTGTGGGCATGTGGAATGTGAGGAATCAGGCCATGTCAGATGGAAATGCCCCACAGCAACGTGATAGATGGGCCTGGCATGCAGCCAAGCAGCGGGTGCATATGGAGGTATGGGGTTACATGGGCATGGGTCACTAGGTGGCCCAGTCCACGTGTAGAGGCCCTGGGATAAATCCCTAATGCTTGAGGTGGGAAGAGCCCGAGCAGAGGGCGGGGAAGGGAATGACATGGCGAGGCACATACACCCACATGCTCACGCCCCTGAGTTATCCAAGGAAGTGCAAGTGACGGGGAGGCCCACCTTTTGGTGAGCCCGATGGCAGAGATCTTCCAACTCAGAGAGGGCCAACTGGGGTCAGGCAGATTGGGGGCACGGAATGGTTGCTGTGTTGGCCCATGGGCCACACTGGGCTGGTCAGGAAGGAAGTGGGGGCCTGGAAGGAATGGAGAGGCGCCGATGAGGCCAGCCCTGGCTGTGTGATTGGGCGAGGGAAACAGAACCAGGAGGCTAGGGAGTGAGGGGCACCCTGTATGGGGGCTCTGTGAGGAGGGACAGCTCCAGGCAATGGCAGGGCAAGGGGGGTCTCACCAAGGAGGGGCTGTGAAGAGCTTTCCATGGAGCAGGTTGAGGAGCACTGTGGTCCTGGAGGCCTGTGAGCCAGGCAGGTGATGGACAGCAAGTGGCAGGGCCCAGCAGAGGAGACTGGCTGGCCTGACCTCAGAGGGAGGAGCCTGAGTGTGCAGGGAATCAAGACAACTTTGCGATGTTAGAATGAAATTTGGAGTTAAAAGGATAAAATAGGAGAAAACAGTGACTGGCTGGCTGATGGGCATTTGTTTCCTTAGATCCTTTCTGGAGGCCAGGGTCACATTTTGGAAGGTTCCAGCCTTAAAGAGCCTGAAGAACTCCTGGCTGTTGGCAGCTTCCGTCTACACCACTGCAGAGCCCTGGTCCAGACCACAGTGAGTAGCACCAGGGAGCGGCCTCGGCTCGCACCACCCACACCTGCCTCCACATCCAGCCACTCACTCACTTTCTCCCTTTAACTCTCATCGACTTGTGAAACATGGTCATTCCTGCCACCTAGGGCAGACAGGCAAAGCATTAACGGCCTGCAGGGTGCCGAGGAGTAGAAACGTTCCCCCACCAGGACCCGGGAGAAGAGGGGTCTCGCAGGGGAACAGGCGGAGGGGCGGTGAGGACAACTGCTGGACAGCCCCAGCGTCAGGCAAAGAAGGACTGGCCTGCAACTGCTGGGCTGGGGACGTGGCTCCCCTGTGGGAGCTGTAGGAAGAAGGTGACTGTGGCGGCTTCGGCCACAGGCCACTTACCATAGCAGTCAGGCAGAGGCACCTGCAGGGCCTGTCCAGCAGCTTTTCTCTCGTGGTCTCAACCTCCTGTGGCAGAGTCACTTCATCACATCACCATGGCAGGGCTCACGGCAGGAGGAAGGGGGCGGGCAGAAAAGGGGGCTTCTTCTTGCAGCTCTTTCTTTTATTAGAGGCCGGGGTCTTGTGCCCACCCTTGGACCAGGTATTGCAGGAGGGGCGAGGTGGCCAGGCCCAGCTCACTGGGCTTCCTGCTCAGCCTGAGGAGGGTCCTTCCTAGGGCACAGCTGGGCTCCTCTGTACACCTAGGACATGGTGGGAGTGGCACATGGGTAGTGTGTCCACAAGGATCTGCTCTGGAAAGTGGTGGTCATCACGTGGAGTGACGTGTAGGGAAGGGCAGGTATGAGGCACTGCCCTGTGGCCCTCTGGGAAGTGACGACCTGAGCTAGAGCCAGGGCGGCAGGATGGTGGAGGGGCCAGCTGGGAAGGTCACACGGTGCTGCACTCTTCTGACAAGAGCCTATGGAGGGAGCATGGCCGGGTGGAAGGCAGTGGCTCTCAGCAGGAGGTGGCTGGGGCCAGGTTCTGACAAGAGTTTGGTACAAGTATGGCTGCCGCCCTCAATGGCCAACACATGGTGACAGGTGCCGTGGGGCGCCCAGGAGAGGGACCTCATCATTGGTGCACACCAGCCATCTCCAGGGATTCTGAGGATTCTGTCCATCTGCACTTTTTTTTTTTTTTTTAAAGATGACCGGTAAGGGGATCTCAACCCTTGGCTTGGTGTTGTCAGCACCACACTCACCCAGTGAGCTAACTGGCCATCCCTATATGGGATCCGAACCCGTGGCCTTGGTGTTATTGGCACCACACTCTCCCGAGTGAGTCACGGGCCCAGCCCTCATCTGATCTCAACCCTTGGCTTGGTGTTGTCAGCACCACACTCACCCAGTGAGCTAACTGGCCATCCCTATATGGGATCCGAACCCGTGGCCTTGGTGTTATTGGCACCACACTCTCCCGAGTGAGTCACGGGCCCAGCCCTCATCTGCACTTTAGAAAACACCCTAGGACAGGAGGTAGAAACTTGCAGAGGCAGGGGTTGTCTTAAAGCAACAAGACATGTAAAAATGTTCAGGCTGCTCATCACGATAGCCAACACAGGGGATGTCCAGCAGCAGTTGCTTGGGTGGACCCTGCAGGGTGTGAGCAGAGGGCAGTGGTGGCCTCCAGAAAGAAGCACAAGACACATAGCACAAGGGCCAGAGATTCCACCTGAGAACCAGGGACCCGCCACTGTGTCAGGGTGAAGCCAGAGTCATGGAGTCATAGAAAGCTGCGTGGTCGCTTGGGAAGTCAGCTGCCGGTAACTGCTGCAAGACAGGAGGCCCAAGGGTGGGCAGCGCGGCACCCCTCATGTTTCTACCCATGTGCTTCTCTGCTCACATCACATAATGGGAAGGTTTTGACGACGATGACAAAGGGGGGAACATGGAGGGGCCAGGGGAGGGTGGGCAGGGCAGAGGCCGCGAGCTGGCATTCTGAGTTGCTGTGTGTGCTGGCACCTGACCACTGTCCTCCTCCTCCCTCAGCTCTCAGGAACACCCGGCAGCAGGCACGGGAGCCTGATTACATACAGCCTCTTTCTGAAGACCCCCTTGCAAGGAAACAGGCAACACATCACAATTCCAAGGAAAAAGAAGATATTCACTCCACGTAACCTAAAAATGATGTTCTTTAATAGTGACGTTTGCTAAACACGAGAGTCCTTTGTACCTTCATGAGGAATTTTACATTTTCTTACTGGTTTGGTTTGGTGTTGGAAACCAGACCTACTCTATGGGGCTATCTCCCAAGTTCCAAGTCAGTTTCCTAGGATCTCTCTCTCAAAGCCCGGCCTGTACGCCTGGCTGGTTCCAGGTCTGAGCAGGATAAATGGGGTGCGTCCCTTGGCAGGGCCAGCCCTCACAGGGTGGGCGGAGGCTCCTGGGTGCGCTGGCAGGCTGTCGGGCTCCAGGTGGCAGCACAGGGCACCCAGTGAAGGACGCCAGGCCTGGCTTCATTGCCTGGGGACCCCTCTCTGTTGGATCAGTGGGTTCAGAAGAAAGGGGACAACATAGAAATGTTGCCAAGGAGACACTCTTGACAGCGCCCAGGAAACCCTCCTGTTCCATGCGCAGCCCTTGACGCTGGGCTCCACGCAAGTCCCCGGAGCCTCACAAATATGCTCCCGGGCCCTGTCCCGTAGCCTGGGGACAGGCCTTTCTCCCCAACGGTGCTGGAGCATCTGAGAGCCAAGGGCCTCCAAGGTGGAGCCAAGCAATCAGCACTGACTCTGTAAGCTTTCATGAATAAACCGGCCTGGACCAGCCTGTGTTCTTGCTGATTCATTGGCTCTGCAGGGACCAAAGCCTGAAGTTCTGTCCCTTGGGGCGGCCTGGGGCCTGAAGGGCTGGCAGAAAGGCCATACTGGTGAGGGACACCAGTTGTGCATCAGACACCAGGGTGCACTTGGCTTTGAGTTTATAACAAAGAAATAACACTTTTTTTGTTGTTTGGTACCAGATGTTTGGGAAAGCTGCCTTAATTTTTCATTTTCAACCAGAAGAGGGTGGGCATTTGGAGACTGCTTTTGTAACATGCTGTATCCTTCAAAGGCACTGTCTGCTAGGAGGTCTTTTGGGGACCCTGTCAGCAGAGACCCTCTGGGACATGTTCTAGTTTCCTAACCTTTGGTTTAAAGGTTAGACTTTTACAACCCAAAATATTCCGCTCTGCCTTCTCCCCTTCAGAGCTTCAGATCTGGATTCTGCCATGTCAGTACATCTCCATACTGGCTGTGAGCAGTAATCCACAGCCCTCAGCAGGCCGGGCCTTTCTCCTGCCCTCCCTGTGGCTCTGTCACAGCAGCCTCCGACTCAGCAGGCTCCAAACCTGAGCTCTGTCTTGCCCCACCCAAGCTGGCAGTTTGGCAGTGAGGTGCAGGCTGCTCTGAAGAATCTCGCCAGTGCTCAGACATCGGGCCTGCTCAAGCAAGTGTCCTGATACCCCTCATAAAGCATCTGAGGTCCTCAGCCAGCTCAACCACAGGTAAGAATGGCACGGTTCCCACTCCAGTAACCCGACAGATGAAGGTACACGCCCCTTTCTGGGAATACATATTTAGTGCACCCTCTACTGCTCTTTCATATAAAGTATCTAGCGTACAATGAAACACAGGACACACAAAAGAGCAGAACACATGAGCCATGGTCAGCAGAAGCAGATCCAGTGACGGCCTGATGAAATTAAAGCCAAGGACCGTGAAGTGACTGGGGAAGGTGGTTGGGGCCCACAGAGAGTGACGGCAACAGGAAGAGGTGGACATTTCATCAGGAGCATGGGGGCTTTAAAAAACAAAACGGAAATGCTATAGATGAAAATTAACTTCATAAACGAATGCTTCTATATGGGCTTAACAGCAGCCTGGACACAGCAGAGGAATGAATCAGCAAGCTTGAGGACTGGCCAGCAGGAAAGATCTAGACAACACAAAGAGAAAGAAGTGGGGAGGAGAAGCAGAGCAGAGTGTCCGAAGCCTGGGGCCAGCATCAGATGGTCTGAGCAGGAGTGACGTGATCGCAGAAGCAGAGGAAACAGAGAACAGTAAAGAAATATCTGAAGAGTTAATGGCTAAGAACACTCCAAAAGTGATGAAAGACAATAATGCAGAGATGCAAGAATCTGTAACCCCAAGCGGGCTACATATGAAGAAAGCCGCGCAGGTCTTGCAAATAGCCAGAGCAGAAGCAGGAGATTCCCTGCTTCTGGAATGTGGCTGAGGTTACATCTCCCCGGAAGCAGCGGTGGCCAGAAGGCAGCGGGGCAGCATCTTCACTGTGCTGGAAGGGGAGAGTCAACTAGAATTTCATATCCGGCTGCTATTCTCTAAAAATGAAGATGTCATCAGCCAGGATCCAGCCGAGATATAGAAACCACACCAGCTACAAATTAACATAAAGAATTACTAACTAGTAAAAGGTGGTTAACTACTAAAAGGGTTTTGTAGGGTTTTTTTTTAAATAACGACTTAAAGGGTCCTGAAACAGCAAGTCAGGAAGCCGCTTCTCCTCTACACTGGGGACCACGAAGGAACAGGCCTGGGAGAGGCCCCCTCCTCCCAGGCTAACATTCAGGCCTCTCAGAGAGGGCATGGCTGCCACCAGAACAGGCACGAGCAAGGAAAGTGAGCTGGTCTGTGGGCCGGCTGGGTGGGAGGACAGGTGCCCACGGGAGCGTCCCAAGGGGTGGCGCGGCAGCAGGGGCCCAGCGCACAGCAGCAGGGCTCCTGTCCTGAACTACAACAGAGGACCAGACCCAACAGGGAGGCATTTTGCAGTGTCACTCCAGGACATTCTACTGGCAAAGCCTGATATTCATCCAGCTGGCAAAGGAGAAATGATTACGGCGTCATCACAAAACAGGGGAAGGGAAGGTGGATTTGGAGCTGAGAGGCAGTAAATTGATCATTGACACAGAAGGCAGGCTGCACTGGCCAGATCTAAGCACCGTCCAAATTTGAACACAAAAATAGTTTAGGAAATTAGTGAATTAAGTCATTAAAACCCAGGAGCACATGAGGTCCAACTGATGGTGATACAGGTGGTGATAGCTAGGTGGATGGACAGATAGGTGGCGGATGGACAGATACAGGAGAAGGGTGGGCTCTTTTCGTAGAATGCTGACTGCCAGTTGGTAACTGTGGAGGGAGGGAGTGCTAAAGCTGGAAATCATCATTTTGTAACCATCACACATGAAATCATCAACAGATGCTAAATCCAGGGAGGGGATTTTGAGCAGGAGCAGAAGGATGTCTATAAGGTCTTCAGTGTCTCCCCACAGACTGGTTACCAGTTTACAAGGATAAACATAGAAACAGTGGCAAATGAAACAACGCCGGGGAGGGGGCCAAAGTCAAAGTCACCGATGAGGGCTTTGTATTGGTTTCCTGTGGCTGCTGTATCAAACCACCTCAGACTTAGTGGCATAAGCCAACACACACATCTCCCCTCATAGTTTCAGAGGTCGGAAATCCGAAGAGCTCACGGGGCGGAGATGAAGGCGGGGTGGCCTGGGCTGCCTGCAGGGCCCTGGGGAGCCCGGGCCTGCCTTTCCCAGCTTCCCGGGCTGCTGGCCGCTCACGGGCCTTCTGCGTCTTCCAAGCCGGTGGCACAGCATCTCCAAAGCACTCCCCACCTCCAGACCCACACGGCCTCCTCTCAGGCCCTGCACCCCTGAGAATGGCAACGTTCTCTCAAATAACATCACCTTCAGGGAACTGTCCATGTTCCAGTTCTGTCAGCTGACCCAGTGACTGCCTCAGCACTGTTTATCCTCCAATACAGTATGTATGTACCCGCTTTCTTCTGGAGCATTTGAGTCAGCAGATTCACACTATAAGAAATGCTGAAAGAAGTTCCTCTCACTAAAGTCAATGAAAAAAGTCAACCCCAAAAGGTCACATACTGTATGATTCCACTTAGATAACATCCCTGAAATGACAAAATTACAGAGATGGAGGACAGATCAGTGGTTGGCAGGGTGAGGGTTTGGGGGTGGAGGTGCCGGGGCGGGTACAAAGGGCCCTTTGGTGGGGAAACATCTCTGCCTCCCGCTGTGGTGGAGGTTGCAGGGGCCACATGTGATGACAGTTCACAGAAGCACGCACAGGCATGCGTGTGCACATGCACACACGCTCCCGTGCTCATAAGCTGGGAAGTCTAGGTGAGCTCTGTGGATGGACCCCTCTGGGGTTGTTCCCAGGCGTCAACATGGCCTGTGGCTGTATAAGATGCAGCCAGGGGCACTGGGCGCCACCAAGGTTCTCTCCGAACTCTTTCTGCGATTTCCTGTAAACCCACAATTATTTAAAATAAAAGGTTTCTATATAATGGACTAAATACTGGATAAAAAAGAAGGCCTGGCTGGTATAGGGATCCGAACCCTTGACCTTGGTGTTATGTATGCTGTTTTTAAGAAATGCACTTTAGTGACAGAGACGCATTATAAATTACAAAGTTAAATGGTAGAGATTGTACAAGCAAACACACCTGGCATAAGAAAGCTGGTGAGAGAGACCAAAGGTATTACCAGAAAAATGAGGGCCCTGTGACAAGGGTACAGGGGCTGGCTCACCAAGAACACACAGCACGCTAAGTGTGTGCACCTAGTAACAGTTTCAGTGTAAAATAAATGTGCCCCCAGAGGGTAGAGCCAGGCCGACCCACCAGCAGAGCTGGGCCACTCCACACCCATCTCAGAAGCCGGCAGGACCAGTGGACAGAAATCCAGTAAAGACGCACAGGCAGGAGCACCACAATCCTGACAGCCTGTGGGTGCACTTGGAGCCCCCAAGAGAGCCTGCGAGGGCGGGGGGTGTGCTCCCGGCTGGCAGCTATGCCTTCCCGCCCAGCCAAACCCTGCCCACTGTCCCCAGTGGTGCTGAGCTCGGACCCTGAGCCGGCCGTTTCTGCCAATGCGGGCCTCCAGTGCTGGGCCACCTCCTGGCCTCCAGCGTTCCTGCCCCCACTCCTGTGCCCACGCCTGCTCCCTCGCCCTCTTGTCCTGCACCACTGCATCATCAGATAAACTTCTTGCACTTGCAAACCCATCCTGACACCTGGTTCCTGGAGGACCTTCATGAATGTAGCCACTGACCCATGTGCCCTAAGTGACACCTCAGAGTCCTCCACCCACAGCACAGGCCCACTCCTTCCGAGTGGAGAAGGGACACTCGCCGCAGCAGCTCGTGTGCAAGGCCGTCACCAGGCAGAGTTGAGGGTCAGCGCCTTGGAGACATCACCATCATGCAAAGTCTGCCTGACCTGAAGCCTCCAAGCTGGACAAACGCCTAGTGACCCCACAGAGATGTGGACAGATGTCCAAGGACCCAGCTGCGGGATTCTCAGCCCGGGTGCCAGCCATGACAGGGAGGAAGCCCTCAGGACAAAGCCAGCCCCAGCCCTACCTGACCGCGAGGCTCGGCAGTCCCAGTAAGAACCACCCGCGTGAGAGACAGAGGCCTCAGCGCCATGACCGAGCATGGCCACTGTGGGCGTGACATGAGGGTGCGGCTACCCCACGTCCAGAGGAAGAACCTCAGACAAGTTCAGTCCAAGAGCGTAATGAGCAAGAAGCCATTCGCGAATCGGCAGCGCTCAGGACAAGAACAGGTTCACAGAAGGCCGGCCCTGCAGGTGGTCAGGCAGTGTGCATGAGCGGAAAACGGACGGAGGTGCCCACAGCCAGGCCCGCGGCTGAACGTGTGCAACTGACACGCTCCGCTGTTGTGACTGGCTGGGACTCCGCTGTTTGTTATAGAGTATGCGCCGAA